TCATTGACATGACCGTCAGAATTGACAAACGTCAATATTCAAAGCGTGGGAAATATCTCCGAAAACATCCTAATTCTCCCAAATCTGTGCGGTAAAATCCCGGAAATGTTCGAAGTGCCTCGGATTCCTGGGAAACGAAACTGACGTGGTAAAGTGATGCTTCCCGCACGCTAGATCGGTGGGTAATTAGGTATTTTACAGACGAGAGTAGAAAAAACCGTTAGAGGACTTCGCTTACGTCACAAACGACCACGTGCTATCGATAATTTTGGCGAACGTATATCTTATGGGATTGGGCAATCCTATTAGGTTTACGATTCTTGGACTTTTACAGAAGATCGCAATAGGTTATCTGTAACAATATAAATCTAGCACCTTTTCTCTGATATAGAGCTTAAACAAATACTCGATCTAGGCACCTCTGTTCTTTTCAGTACAATTTTGACTTTTCTTCTATTTTCAAATAATTGCGCTAACGACTTTGAACCGCTGTATTATTATCAAGCAAATGAAATAATTCTCTATTCGATATATTTGCAGGTTATAACCCAAAGCGTAATGCCAATAAGTCAGTATCCCTATTATTTGTACCACAAAAACAAGTAGACCAGGTCAAAAATCATCTAAAATTAATAACGAATGAGGTTCCTCTAGAGTTTAAAATTGAAGCAAAAAAACTGAGGCTCGGGATGGATGCTAACCTACGATTAACAAAATACTGATTCCGTCAATACTCCTACGGATTTCTCAGGGAACTCTATCTTTAATTATCTCTGTGTGAGTCATTATCATATCCAGGATATTTAGTTTATGGTAGGCCTTTCAACGCAAGAGATTGTGGCTGTCTTCAGGATGCTCGGAATGCTTGCTTCAGAGGATCTATCACGTTATACTCAAACAGAAACACACAAAGCTTAAATCTTTGAGATGTCTTCATCTCTTACTTAGAAAATATTAAAGTCAATTTGTCTAAAATCTTGCTTCTTTTAGGGAGCTTGATAGCACTAATAAAAGGAGAAACGGTTGATACTTTTACCTCGATATGACGCTGCATTATTTCAAAGATCGTATTCATATAAAGCTCTTACATTGATCAAGAAATTGATAGATAGATTTTTAAATAACTTTTGTCCTTACTTAATTGCAATAAATATTTTTTTTATATTTTGATAATATGGCTTTTATAGGGACTCAAAGTGTTAAAACCGACCTGTGGGGAATACTTCGCCTATTATCCTATATACAGGGTGTTTAACAAAGATGCGACAATATTTAAGGAGGTGATTTCTCAGATCATTTTACGAAAACAGTTGTTTTTTTTTTTTTAATTCAAATATCTTCTCCCGGATTTGTTTGCAACTGCCAAATTGTCGTTTCTAGTGATCTCACATCTTGCTTAGTTTAGAAGATGAAAATTAAAAAGTATTTATAAAAAAAATATTTTCCAATAATATTCGCAGATCATTCTACTATAAAAAACTGTATATTTAAAATACAAAATATTTACAAAAACTATTAAAACTGGCCAGCAGCTCGGATGCCGGAATTCAATCTTCTCAGTACTAATTCGATTTCTTAGGTCTCTACTTTTTCCACACGAGTAATGTAAACCAAGGTGATCCGACAGGGAAAAATTCAGTCATCGAGTAGGCCGCAAGTGAGGTCCATCTCAGTCAATCCACCCATTTTCGTTCCTGTCAAAATTTCACTAGCAACTTGACAAAAATGCGTTAGTACGTCATAGTGGATAAATCATATCATAGATTCAGGTAGCGTGTGTTTCAAAAAGTTGCAATACACCTCCTCCGTGGAAACACCAATCCACACAATTCAAATCCAAATATTCAACGAGAAATGACGTTGAAAGTGATCTTTAAATATTACTTATGGATTTTCACCACATCCTCAATGATAATTATGAAAATGTCATCTTACTTTTCTTGAAAAACTCATCGGTATCAGAATTACCATCAGTAGTTGAGGGATTTCAACCATTTTAGGTAAAACCCCTTTATAGGACGCAATGCTTGGAGGAAAGGCGTCAACTGCTGGTTTTTAATCCCTTGCCATCGGCAACTCCATAAATATGTTGCGGAACTTTAATATTAGACAGATATGACACAGAAAAACAATTGAGGTTCTTGTTGCAGGTGGACCCATTCAACAGTTTTTGTAATTTGTTTGAATGACAAATATAAATAAGTTATTTTTAGTCCAATTGTTCGCAAATATTATTGGAAGGTTCAAAAATATTCTATTCAATAAAACAGTGTTGGTGGACATGAGAAAAACCAAGAAACGAAGAAGTAGTAGTTTTAGTCGCTCTATTTCAGAATTAAATTAAATTCGCTATTTAATTTTCAATTAGTTACTGCTAAATCGGCCTCTTATCACCGGAAAAAAGCAAATCTGTGAGAAGATATCTGAAATTATTTCAGAAACATTGTTGGACCTTTTTCATTAAATCATTTTTGTATTAAATATTGCCGGTTTTTTTAAACACCCTGTATACAGGTTCAAAAACTATTACGATTTAACGAAATTTAGCTTGGTCCAAAATTTGGCAAATCGGGGTTTTTTGACAACAGCAATCCATTTTCGAGAATAGTTTAGTCTATGTAGAGTTTTACATCTTTTACCACAAAAATTAAATTTCGCCCAAGTCGCCGTTTTCAAGAAATTTTGGTTTGGTTTGGTTTGGTTTAAAATTTAAAATTTCATTTTTTTATGACATCAATTTTAAAATAACCTATATAATGCATATTACTGACCAAATGTGGTAGTACAGACCTTAACAGCCTTTTTAGTATTATTCATTTTGAGATTATTACTACAAGAGACTGAAAAAACTTCGACGTCAATGAAAACAATTTTATTGAAATACAAATTTAATTTTAAACTAAAGTAAAATACAAAAACTATTCATAAAAAAATATTTCTATTCGGCAATAAATGTTCAAAATGATTTCCATTCACTGTGATGTACTTACGAGACAGGTTTATTGAATGATTCAGCGAAATTTTAAATCCCGTGCCATAATTCGTCTCGGGTATGAACTACTTCTTCATGCACTAACGACTTTAATTACCCTCATACATAAAAATTAATAGGACCGAAATCTGGACTCCTAGGCAGCTAAGGTGTTTGACTCTCACGACCAATCCAACTATAAGGAAAAAAATCGGCGGAGCGCCATCTTGCATGAAAATCACTGTTTTTCTTGACTCTAAGGATAGCTCATCCAGAAAATCGCCGAATTGAGTTTGCAAAAAATTTAAATTGGGTTTTAGTTCGATTGGTCTTAAAATGCAATTATCAATTATTTCGCACCAAAAGTTTATTTTAAATTTAAATTTTCTAGATCCCACGCATACTTGTTTCTCAAATTATAGACACCTCTGCGTATCAATGTTGTTTCATCTGTAAACATCATTTTATTTAAAAACATTGGGTCCCCGTTTTGAAGGATCCCACTAAAACGAGCAAATTCCAGTTTGACTAGGTAATCTAAAAGATTTTGCACAGGAGTAAAGTGATATGGATAAAGTTTTTCTTGGTGCAAAACTCTACAAGCTGCTCATTAAGATTCGCACTGCCATACTAAAGAGCAGCAAAGAGATTCACCAGAATGTAAGTGAAATTTGAAAAATTTTGCAGTTAGAGAGTGCTCAGAACTATTTCGCTGTCTCTGATTGTTAATCATTAAAGCCTACTTTAAACTAATTTGCATGTTCGAGTGAAACTGTTCAATTAGGCGGAACAAAAATTTTGTTAAAAAATCTCAAATATTTCATTAATTGTTTAAGGAAATCTAAAATGAAATTGCAAGTTTGACACCCTGTATTTCGGTTAATATCAACTTTTACACTAAGGTAAGTTTCGTTAAATCGGATATTTTTACCTGTATATATATATATATATATATATATATATATATATATATATATATATATATATATATATATATATATATATATATATATATATAGTATATATATATATATATATATATATATATATATATATATATATATATATATATAATATATATATATATATTTATATATATATATATATATATATATATATATATATATATATATATGATGACACATCATCACATTTTTCCATCCGTGAATCAATACGTGAGAATATAATATATATATATATATATATATATATATATATATATATATATATATATATATATATATATATATATATAT